GAGATTTATTTTTCTATTGGAAAAAAAAAAATAAACAGTCTGAAAGCATTACAATTGGTAGATTTTAGTAATTTTACAGTGAATTGAATCCCTATGTCATAGTATCATTAAAAATTTAATGATGGGTCATTCAAATTACAACATGCTTATTTATAATACTTGCACATTTCTGTCTGGACACTCTTCAGTCCATCTGCTGACTCCTAAATGTCTATTTCACTTGAGATGAAATGCCTGCATACTCCAAATTTTAAATGTTTTGATGTGGATATGGAAAAAAGAGTTGATTGAGTGCTACCGTTTACCATAGATTCACAAACTGAGACTGGTTTATTCTATGAGTGATATTCAAAATGGTATCTCTTAAATGCAAGGCAAACATGGCTTAGCATGTCACTATCTGGTGCAATGCAGTCCCTGTACATATAATATGCTGCATCTTTACTAAAAGTGCTTAAAAAAATCTTTAGTGAACAAAAGAACAATATACTCTATTAATAGAAGTTTGTTGCTTCTAAAAGTTAGCTTCTTTGTTTTTTTCCTTGAACATTTAATAATACAGAATTGTTACCTGCAATTAAATGTCGATGCCTTTTGTTCAAAGGGTAAGTACTGTGCTGCTTTAACTGGTTCTTAGCAGACAATTTTACTCACAGCACAATCTGCTTGTAGCTGTATTCATATCTTTTTTTGATTTAAAAATGTACTTAAACACTGTAGGCTAATTCATTTAGAGTTTACTATTATTTTAAAAAGTACAATATTTTTTCTATGCAGATTAATACAATAACCTCTATGTTATATAAGCAGGAAGATATGCAGAAAGGTTTGTGTTACACATAAACATACATACTGCTATTTGTAAATGAAACTTTCTCTTTTGTCATTAAGTTTAAAAGTAGTATAATTTCAGGTTTATAATACAAATATTGTTTAAACTGAAAGCATTTGGTATTTTGCTTACAATTTTTTTTTAGGGATAATTTAAAATGTGTAGCTTTAAAGAAAAAAGTTTTGTGGAATTATAGCAGATGAGCAACTGTTTGCACATTGTTAGGGCACAGAAGTTAGAGTTCCGATTACCACATTAATCAGAAAGAACTGAGACTATGAAATCCATTTCATTTAATCTCATTATTGAATAAACAGCTCTGTAGTGATGCCTATTTGTACTTGTTTCTCTAATAAAAATGCAACTGTAGCTCTCAACACAAATTAGTTTTAATTATTTAAATGATATGAATTTGTCAAACATAAATAATCTAACACCTGTTTTGCCTTTTCATTTTATGAAAAAAATATTTCATGAAAACTAATAGAAGATGCTAGTGGGGAATAATGAAGGTAGGTCTATGGTATTTATTATAATGCTATTAAATCAAACAAATGCAAGTGTGATTTGGTTACTATATAGCACGAGGAAGAAGCAGTCCATTTCATTGCTATGCAAGGACACAACAGAAAATGGCAACACAGGAGGATGTCTCGCATACACTAGGTCAAAGCAACTCACTTGTCCTGTGCTCATCTCTGAGAACTGGTGACAGTGATTTACAGTATAGCAATTCATCTTCTGAATACAGTGATAACTACAAAGCAATGAGTGGTGTAGCTTTCGAGATGCTTAATCAAGGCACCAAAAGCTGCCATGACAGTAACCAATATATGTGAAACAAACCTTCTCAGGTAAAGGGAAAAACAAATCTGCGTTTCCCTGCTTTGTCTTTGTTTCAGTAACTTCATTTCAGGAGATCTGCCTGACCATACATGAAAAGTACCCTAAGTGTCAGAAGGATATAATGTGGTATAAAACCCAGTTGGTAGCTACTCTGAAAATGGAGGTCTATGTGTTTTCTCCACAGAATAGTATAACCATATTTGTTGTTTCTGTTTCATGCTGCATTTTGTTTTAAATTACGTGCTATTTATAATTCTGGATATCTTATCACACTGCCCTGAATTCGTTTATCACTTGGTTGAGGAGGGAAATTAAACATGTAATCCAGTTGTGGTTGGTGGTGGTGGCCTCATATGGCACTTCAAGCAGTGATAATTTGTATATCTTTCTGTATATTAAACCATACTTTAATATTGATTCTGTTTTTGGTGTATTAACTGTTATCCTTTCTTGGTAAAGGAAATGTGCTAAGCAGATAGTTACTGTTCTAAATCAAGAAGGCAATTTTAAAGTCACATGAAGCTGTTGAAACCTACCGCTCAGTAGTTTGTCTGCCAGATCAATCATCTTTATTGTCCCGTCTGGAGGTGTCTCTCTTCCTTCGTGCAAAATATAAGCCTGCAGGCAGGCTTATCATGAGAACTTATGACACTCCAAGGATATGATTATGCGACCATCACAGTTAATATTGTGCCCTACATATCAATAACATAGCCTGGGGTTTCAGAGCTGCCTTTTTTAAAAAAATACAAATTACAGAAAATGTTTTCTAAAGCATTTCATTATATTTCAGAGTGCATTTTCTCTTAAAATGCTCCTCTGATTATTTTGTATTAGCTGGAGTCCCTTCTCAACACAGTTAATTTAAAACACTTAGACTCAAATTTTTGCATATTGGCCTTTTTTTTTTTTTTTAGACCCTTTGTTCGCAGCATTTAATTATTGTTAAATAATCAGTAAATATGCTACAGGAAAGGTACTGTGATAATACTGAATTTGTTTTGGTGTCATTGGAATTCAACTAAAAGTCAGTATAAAATCATGTTTCTAGTGTTGCAAAGAACTACAACTACAGTATGTAACTACTCAAGATAAATCTGGATTTTAGTTAGTTCTTGTTATTTTTATAATAATTTTTAAAAATTTATAACTTAGAATAGCTTGATTGGAAAAGACCATTACGATCACCTAGTCCAACCATAAACCTGGCATTGCCAAGTTCACCACTAAACCATGTCCCCAAGTGCCACATCTACACATCCTTTAAATACCTCCAGGATATGGTTACTCCACCACTTCCCTGGGCAGCCTGTTCCAATACTTGACAGCCCTTTCAGTGAATAATTTTTTTCCTAATATCCAACCTAAACCTCCCCTGGCACAATTTAAGGGCATTCCCTCTTGTCCTATCACTTGTTATTTGGGAGAAGAGACCAACACCCACCTCACTCCAACCTCCCTTCAGGTAGTTCTAGAGAGCAATAAGTTCTTCCCTTAGCCTCCTCTTCTCCAGACAAAACTGAACTTGAAACTATATAAACTGTAATGTCATTAGGGAAAAAAAAACAACACCATCACATATGCAAGATGTTTTCAAAAATCCCCCAAATCCCACTATAAATTGGAGGACACCTTCCTGTTGTAGTAATATTGATGTTGAAGAAAAGGCCAGAACTGTTTGATTGTTG